AACTGCTTGATACTGAACCACAGAGGAAGAGGAGGAGGAGGAGGAGGAGGAGGAGGAGGAGGGAGGAGGAAGCAGGTTAAGGTTTTAAAAACAAGCAGAATGAGATGTTTTTGAGATTATGTGAGTTTTCTGAAGGTGTGTGAGTGTGAGGGGGAGGGCGGGGTGTCAACGGACGCCGGCTGTTCCGACAGGACTGCACCGCGTCAGCTGTCCGGCTGTGATTGACAGCTCCAGCTGAAGGCGCGAGGTGAGGAAGAGGAGGAGCCTCCTGGTTCTCTTGTGAGGAAGGGAGGCTGTTGGAAATGTGTTTATAATGAAGTAATGCTCCCTGGATTCAGGTTTTCATTAGCCGCCGCGCAGCGAGCTGCAGCGCTCGGTTCAGAAATATCTAAACGCTGGATGAAGTTTGGTTCAGTTCGAGCACTTTAACATGAAATTATGTTCAACAAATGTCATTAATATTAGTTCAAGGAATTTGCTTAAAAGAATTAAGGTGTTTTTAATTAGCATTTACTTAAAAAACTAGACTAGACTGTCAAACCAGATAAGTTAATTTAACTTAAGAATTTAAGTAAAACAAACTTAATTAGTGATTTTAAGTGACACTGACTTAATTTTTATTTGTGCTGTGAAAACAAAATATCCAGTTAAAAGTTCTTAATCAGGAATATTTCTCTAACTTAAAAAACTAAGTTGGTGTCACTTAAAATCAGTAATTAAAGCTGCTTCATTAAATTGAGTTTGTATCATATTATGTACTCTGTACTTATTATCTAGTTTTTCTACATTATGTTGACACAACTCATCAAAACAGTGTTTGGTGTTGGTGTTGAACCTGAAGCACTGGATGAAAGCAGACTTTCTACAAGTCCTGCAGTGATTTAACTGGACGACGTTGTCCTTCAGTCTTACAGTGAGATGTCAGTAAAAGACCAACCAGAGCTTTATTGTTTTTATTCTGCAATCTGTAGTTTAATTAACTTCACTAACGCGTGTGTGTGTGTGTGATTAACAACCTTTATATAATCAAAGTGTGTAATGGGTGTGTCCAATGATACAGCGGCTGATTTGATGCTCCGTTACTTTCTGTCATTCACCTTAACTTCGTTCTGCTGTTCAGAGTTCGGGGATCCGAATAAGCTCCAGTTCACGTTCCGTAAAACTCTTCTTCGATGCTTTTAAATGTTGATCCTTCGTATGTAAACCAGGAGGTTGAGTGTTTTCAGGACCTTTACAGAGAACTGTGGGAATGCTCAGAGGGATCATCGAGACGTTTGATGAAATGGCTGCGAATGCACGTGCACAGATTTCAAGATACACAGTGTGATTTTCATTACAGGAAAGTTAAACTGACTGCTACCAGGTAACATTGTTTGTTACCGTTGTTGACTTTAATCACTTAATATTACTTTTAAATCTCATTTCTACACAGATCAGTGTTTGTGTTTTTGTATTAGCTGTTAGCTGCACAATAAAACTCCACATACGTATGTGTGATGCTACGACACATTGAGATGAACTGATCCAGTAAACTAATGTGTAGATCTCCATATTACTTTATGTGAGAATAAAGAACGATCCAGTTTTTTTAATATCAGTTTTTCAATCACGTCAAACAAACAGACTCATGTTGGTACATCACACCACTTAATGAAAGACTTCAGCGTAGGACACACCGGTGTCTTATCGTCTCCTCCAGGTGCCTTCAAGGACTTGGAAGATCCTCCATGATGGCGGATGGGGGATGGTTGCCGGGTCACAGAAGGAGAGAGGACGACGTGAGGGAGCATCAGTTAGCGCAATGAAAAGAACCCAGAGTTTTAATGCATCTGAACCCTCGTGTGTGTGTGTCTCTCTCTCTCTCTCTCTCTCTCTCCCCTTCTCCAACCTTTAAATACGATGTCAGGATGGAGTCTGATCACCACAGACATTTCTCATCCTCAGTGTGCACCCGTCAGTTAAATTTATTTACTCATTTAAAGTCTCTCCTGATTGAAGTGACTGTAAATACTCGAGTATGAGGAGGGACAGAAAAGTACTCGAGTAAATGTGTTTATTTCCACCACTGGTCGAACCCAACATCAGCGTTCAGAGACAGACTCTGTCCTCCGTCAGTGTGAGCGTCACTCTGCAGTAAAACAGTTAAAGAGCGTCAGAAGATTTCTGTCTGCAGATTTTAGCTCAGAGAGTGCGGAAAAATCCACCGGCACAAAATGTTAAATAACTTCATATTAACTCATTCTGGACAAAGAAGATCAGGACTCTTTAAGAAATCATTTTCAGGGACCTTGTAAAATAAATAAATAAAACAAACATACAGATAACGGATATTTTATACGTTTTCTTAAAGCCCTTAAAATCAAGAAGGTCCTGCGACCCCCTGTGAAGCTCTGGCCCGACCCCTACTGGGGGTCCTGACCCTCAGTTTGGGAACCACTGATGTAGGCGATCTGAGTGAGGAGCTAAAATACAATTAAAAGTTTAGGACAACATGGATTATTTTGAGGATTTTTGCTAATTTTAATCATATTCCAGGCGTTTCCAAGACTGGAAAACTAGTCTGGAGCCTTTCCACTGTTCTCATTCCCACAACTACATTAAGTTTTTCTGAATTATAACACACATATTACACATATTAATCTGAATATCTTTGGTTTTTGGACAAAATTACATTGAAATGGCAAAAATTCAATTCAGTCTCTCTACGGGAATATATATAATTATTTTTATCTGCATTGATTTAAATTTCCAGGTTTTTCCAAGTGAGAACTCTGCAGATAGACGGCTCTCATTCCAAGTCTGAAGATTTTCTGCATTCTAACACACACACACACACACACACACACACACACACACACCTTCCATTTCCTTTCCTTTAGT